CTTGACGTGCAATTAAGGCCTGGCATACTTCAGTGGATCATTGATTATTGTTTATCACTAGACCATAAAGTGATCATTACTGTGCAATAGAACACTTAACCACTTACTCTAAATGTGGTTACATGATGATCATGATTTTATCGTATACAGAGATAAATCCCTCAGCTCACAAGAAGGATCAACTGGTTTTTGTATTTAACCAGAAATAAAACTTGTGACCTATTAAGAGTCAAACAATAACTAAATATAGTGTGTGTGTGTATATATGTATGTGTGTATATGTAACATATATAATGTAATGTAGACAACTAGTACATCCACGCCATTTCGGAAGGGTTCGGTAGCAAACGCACGCAGAGATCAATACAAAACATCAGGGGTGATGTGGGTACTCACGGAACGCAGTCATTCTCAGCCTGGCTTTTGGAGTACTGTATGCAGACCCAGCTGGACTGGATGTTGCAGTGCTAGCCTCAAAGTGACTTTTAGGCATTGGGTTCCACAAGCGCTCTCCCACACCCTCCCCTGCAGATTCTGTATCTGATGTATCGACGACCTTAGTGATTTCAGGGCAATCAGCAGCAGAGACTTTGATTCTGCGTCACTCCAGTCTTTGACTATTCAGCTTACCCCTGAGGAGTCTCAGTCTTATGCTATTATCCCACACCCTCCCCGGCAGAGTCTATATCTGTTATCTGATGTACCCGTGACTTTAATGATTTCGGAGCCATCAGCAGCAGAGACTGTCTGATTCTGTCACTCCAGTCTTTGACTATTCCGCTTACCCCTGAGAAGTCTCAGTCTTCTGCTATTACTCCCAAGGAGACAATTTTGTCTGTTATTGTTGCTGTGACAACCACTCTAAAACTAGAGGATCTGCCTGTTGCTTCTTCCAGTGCAATTTCCAGTCTTGGGTCCCAAGGTTGCAAAGACCTTCCATTTGCTCCTACTTTTCCAATTATTTGTCTATGGAGATTGGAAGGTTGGAAGCATCCTGATAAGTTGTTTGCACCCTGTAAACATTTATTAGCATTGCATCCGTTTGGGGAGGATTTTGTGTAGAAGTTGTCTATTACCACTGTGGATCTAACTGTGTCCTGCCATGAATAGTAATTGCCTTGTCAATTACTATTCAGGTAAAGGATGAGCCTGTCTTAAAGTGTATTTTCACTTTTGCAGTCAAATCTGAGAAAAATCCTCTATATGTTTGTTATGTGTTCCCATTCACACAGCATACTATTTCTTACCTTTCAGATGTTTTGTTGCAGCAGGTAGAAAAATAGCTGAATCCAGGTTTTTCTAAGCATCTTCACAGTGACCTGTCCCAATAGAAAGAACTAGGATAGGAATGTGTTTTTCTTATAAACATACAATGTAGAAGCCAGGATTGTAATCTTTTAACCCTTTGTTAGGACAGGTAGTGTTTAAACCTACTTTACAAATTATAAATAAATCAGCCAGCACAGTACAGACAGGGTTAAAACAAACCCCTCACAGCTCCTCTTAACATAACAAAGGAGAAGCAAGGTGATATGTTGGCAAATAAAAAGCAATTTAAACTGCATGAAGCATTTTTTTATATTTTTATTTAGCTTATGTGATGTGAATGGGATGATGTACCGATGGTGTCAGGGATCTGAACACCTCCAGGTGGTGCTGGACCAGATCCGGCAGTTCCAGTGCTCCCTTGCAGCTGTCTCCAGGCAGCCAGTGGCTGTCTGGGACCTGAGCGCCTCCAGGTGGCACTGGGACTCTGGAACCAGGTCATGCACTTTCAGGGCTCACCTGCAGGTGTCAGCAATTAGGCACCACCTGATGCTGATCTGGGAGGGTATTTAATCCCTCCCTGCAGTGAGCCTGGTGCCACAGTATTGTCGCCATTACCTGTATCCTGTGACCTGTTTCCTGATTCCTGTAACCTGTTTCCTGAATCCTGTTGCCTCCTTGAACCCTGACCATTGATCCGTGGCTCCCCTCTTGTTGCCCTGCTCCCCAGATTCACTTGTCCTGTAACCTTTTGTATGTGGTTTTGTTGTTTGCATTTTGTTGGCTTTTATTTGCTACTTGTGGGTGTTGATGGGGTTGTTTGTGGTTACTTGATTATGGTGTGCCTAATAAACTGTAAGCTCATAAACATTGTCTGGTGTGGTCACACATTTGGTCCTCCCGTATAGATACCTGCATGCGGTGTGGGGACACCAGTGCGTGGTATCGTGACAGATGGATTGGCGCAAGGCCAATGTGGTGCCAATATTTAAAAAGGGATCTAAGTCTTTTATAAGTAATAACAGACCTGTAAGCTTAAAGTGACATTAAACCCTCAGATTTTTTAACATAAACCAATAC